CCGGATCATCAAATAAGGTCATGAGAAGAACTTACAATTGATTCGGGCGGTTATCTGTCATATAGGTTGTAGGTAGTTCAAGCGTACTCTCACTGATAGGTCCGTGAAATGTATTGTAAATTAGAGGCTGCTGAACACCTCATTTGACGTGACTCTGCCCTCGTGTATCCACTGGCGGCCTTCAATTCCTGATTCCGTGTAAGTCAATAAATCCTAACGTTGAAACGCACTTTCCATGGTAGCCTGGCCTCTGCTTTCGCTGCGGCACGCGAGGATGAGGCGCTCCGGAGTCATCGTCGCAAAGTGCTTCGCTGCCTCTAATCCCATCTCGGTATTGGCGTCCAGGACCATGACCGTCTTTCCTGTTAAATCGGCCGTGACCACAGGTTTCGGCTTGACAAATTGGCCCTGGTGAATTCTAAGAAGAAGTGACGCATGGTGCAGAGGATGGAGAATGAGCTGAAAGCGGGATAATTTATAGCTGGCGCTGCATCGACTCGGACTTTGTCTACAACACTGACATGTGCTCGAATGGACGCGCATTCCGGTCCCTCACTCTCTGCTTGCAATGCCAGCGGGCGAGGTTGGCGATCTGATTGCCTGCCAATGCGGGCGGTTAAACTCGGTTAAACTACTACTCTCGACCAGTAATCTGATTGACGGGATCCGGTTAATGCCGGATCGATTAGCTACGAGAGCGTCCACCAAATTAATGCGTGCATACCTTGCGGAGGCTCCCTTTTTTGTTCGAGGTTGGTTATTACATCGCGTGGTGCAAATCCCGCTTGATTGAACGAGGTAACTGGTAAATTTCTGACGCCTTTTATAATTACCTACGGCATAGACGTAGTTGAAGCCTAGAAAACGAGACAAGAGCTGCTTCCCAGACGTCTTGTGTCCACCTTCCCGCCTTAAAAATCTCACCTCTCAGCGCGAGAACGGACAGCAAGCTTATAGTGGGCATGAGGAGACTTGCAAACGGCTACACCCGTGTCGTGACCGGAGGCTGTCAATGATATAAATAATGTGTGTGCCTTGTAATAATTGCAGGACACCGGTGTTCATGAGTTGCGCGGTGCTGTATAACTCCATCTGCCTACCTGCTTATCTGACACATCTCAACCGCATCGCCTTTCATCTCTTTCATAAGTGACAACAAATTATAACTTGTGGGTCCAAAGCCGCTTTCTGAAGTTTCCATGGCGGAGTTTCCTTTAAAAGCAGTAGCTGCTTTATGGCATATCTCAGTGGGGAAACCATATAGCCCAGAACGCTTTTGTCCTCGTTGCAATTGCACCAAAACAATTCGGGCACTTCGGGAGTGAATGGCAGTATCGAAAGCGGTGCTACGGCCTTGTCCATCTCCATGACATACTTACTGCGTCGTTCACCCACGGAAAACTCATTTTCAACTTTCTCCATACCGCTTGCCACCCCGGTCCGCTATTCCTACATCCGTTTTCGATAGAGCTTCTAGTTTGAATATATACATTGGTCAGAGATCTATTTCTCGCGCTGAAGTGTGTTGCATCCTCCCTCTATATGAAGAATATCGCTATGGAAGGTATGAAGTTGCAGGCGCTCGCGCCCTGACTCCAGGGGTAACGAAGTGCGAATTCAACGCGGATCGGCGTCCAATCGTTCGCCGACTACGAAACCCATGGGGAACGCTGTCGGATCGCCGCCGGGGTTCAATTGTTAGCCGGTTCACCTGGGGAGCATCTTGCGGGAGCGGCTTCAGTCTTCAATTTAACTGGCTATCCTACAGCTGCAATTTTTGCAGACGACTCACGAAATCGTATCATTATTTGTCCTTGTGTCGAGGGCCGGACGCGAAAACATAACACGTGAGTTCCACGTGCGGCCGCCTCTTTTCTCTTTTGCGCCAGCACCTCGTTGCGCGGGACTCAGCTTGCTCTTCCAGTGGCGGCTCAATGTTGCCCGGACTCGTCTTGAATCATTTCTTATGTTGATAGCTGCGCATTCCCGCTCGGCAAGTCCGCTGGTAACTTGGTGACAATGTACTTACTACTAGCTAGTAGGCGGGGTATGTGGCTTTTGCTCAGCTGTCCGTTGGCAAGACGGTTCGTCCTCCATTTCAGGCTATGATGACATCTTCGGAACGCCGGGTATGAGATGCAGGATTACTCGAGCGCTCGTACGGCCTCACAACACTCCTTGGTTTTCGCTACTCGTCTCTGGATACCGTTCCAAAATGCAGGATTTGCGAGCAGAGATACATAGATCTGCTGCGCGAGTCGCCAACAGAGATAGATCTGCAAACCCACCGAAAAATACCTTGGTTTCGAGCGCCCTCTGGGTTTTGGATACTGCTTATCGACGGAAGACCATTCGCAAGCAGAGCCTTCCCTGGTTCTCGGATACCCGCTCTCCAAAAATCGTCGGCGACGTCGTCAAGAGCAGGATCTGGGCGACATAAAAGTCGGTACGATGTCGCAGCTGTCGGTCGTAGATCAGGCTGGTTCCTCATCACCCAAACATCTTGGCTGGCCCAAGTAAACCTTCTTCACGCCATTAGTATTCAATTACCATCCAATTATGCGCATCTGTGGCATTTCTCCGAGCATCCTCCTCCTTGGTGCTAGTATTTTCAAACTGGCGGGAGCGGTACCGATTTCCTCGTCGGACCCCTCCACGAATGTCTCATCGACGGATCTCGACCCGAGCCCCCCTTCGAACACGTCCGCGCCCTCGTCACTGATGAACCCCATTCCCACACCTCCATCGATGAACACGACCCAGAACTCAACCGAAGCACAGAACGGCACGATGTCCTCTTCCTCTCTAACCCCGCTTCCCACCTCTCCTCCGATGAATACGACGCAGAACTCAACCGAGGCGCAAAACGGTACCGGTGGAGGCACCATGGACCCACCGTACTTTGTTGTGTATGCCATGGACGCCAATCATACTGCTGCGGGAGACCTGGGACCACCTCCCGTCGAGCAGTTAAAAGTCAGTACACTTCCAGCTCCCATCGACCGTCTCCTGACCGGTCCTTACAGGGCTTCAACGTGATGTATGTATACATATCCTTTCCCTTTCTCTACAGCCGACTTCGGATCTAAACCATCTGCATAGGACGATGGCGTTTCTTCTCACCAACGGCACGCCCGCGCAATTTTCGCAAGCCGAACAGTGGCAGAATATGAACGCATCTCAGCGCACGGATATCAAGGAACAGTATGAGCAGGCTGGCATCAAGATTTTCGTCTCCGCGTTCGGCAGCACCGAGGAACCGACGACAAAGGGCGCCGATGCAAACAATACAGCGTCCACCATGGCGAAATGGGTCAAGGACTACGGCGTCCACGGGATTGACGTGGACTACGAGGGATTTGAATTTCGCTCTGTAGATTGATGTAATGCTTATCCTCCTTGCAGGACATGGCCGCTATGGGCAACGGCACGGCCGAGCAATGGGTGATTGATTTCACTACGCAGCTCTATAACGAATTGGGAGGCGAGTACCTCATCACGCATGCGCGTAAGATTATATCTCATCCCAAGTCCTTTTCGACTGCTAATCTGTCGATTCATAGCAATTGCGGGCTGGCAAGTCATAGTTGATGCTCTTCTGGAATAATTTACCTACCGTATTCCAGGTTTTCTCCTCCTCGGGACGAAATAAAGAATGGAGGGTACCGTAAGATTGACCAGACTGTTGGCCATATGATAAACTGGGTATCTTTCTTGTTCCAGTTCCGTTCTTCTATCATGCTAATTAACCACTTCAGTATAACGTTCAGGTAAACGCGCGCAACTTTTCTCGCAAGGGCGTAAGTTACTGACGTGTGCGGTCTCTGGTAGTTTTATAACTGTATGTCCCCTCCTCGTGTCCCATGGTCAATCTAACCAAATCCTTCATCACCAGCCCCGGGCGAAGACACGACGTGCGACAACCTCCTAGACGAATCCGGATCCTTCCTGAACCAGACCGCCGTCTTCGAAATCCACGACGATGGCCAGGTCCCATTAGAGAAAATCGTCATCGGAAAGCCGGCGACGCCCGCCGACGCGGATTCCGGGTACATGAACGCCACGTATCTGAACTCGTGCATCCAGGAGGCGTCGCAGAAAAATTGGAGTCAGTGGATTCGTCTTTTTACTGCCGATTTCTGACGCGTTGTGTATTCAGCCACGGGGATAATGTTCTGGCAGGTAAGCGGTGATTTTACATCTTTTTCTAATTTAATCAATCTGGCATACCCTGGTCCCAGTACTCCGACGCTGCGTCGGGGATCATCCAAGAGGCCCGTGGAGACGTGTTCCCGTTGCCATCGTAGTATTTTCCTGGGATCTATTGCGGAAGGGATTGGTTTGTATCACTACTGCTGTACTTATATATATTGTATTATTTGCCTGTGTTGGTTCACCACACCAGTCTTCGACAAATCTTGGTTTCGATCACAAACATGAAAGTGAGAGTTGCAATATTGATGGCACAATTTTGCTTTGGCAATTCCCTTGCCTGCTTTGGGGGTAAATTATTTTAGTCGTTGGCTACCCGCATGCAGCCCGACACTAATGTGACCTCAGACGGTGTACGCCATCGCGGAAAAGGTATGACTTGCTTCTATATCAGGGTTGTAAACTTCAAAAAAAAAAAAAATTCAGGCCGTAGATATCATCAAGGTGGCGCGGGAAGAGTGAAGTACGGGAGCGAGGAGCACGTCGTGGCTCAAGTACGAATGAACGCTGAATATATTCCGACGCATCGAATGAAAGCGTCTGAACGCGCGTAAATCGTAGTATTTTGCAGCGCTTTCTGTCTAGCACATCGTTCAGTCTCAAATAGATGCCATCATCGACTGCGCCGATGTTGAACGGCAAAGCCGACCTCGACGATTCCTGCCCATTGAGCAGCTGTCAAAGATAACCTTTAGTTCTTGTCAGTGGATTGAGGGTCTGAATCGTATCAATGTTAAATGAAGGCCGGGAGGGGTTGAACGGAGACGGACAAAATAACAAAAAGACACTGGCCATCGTGGGGGTCGAACCCAAGACCTTCGCGTAAACTGAATCTTAACATTCATATTAGCACGACGCTCTAACCAACTGAGCTAGACGGCCGTTGTGACATCATAACCATCATAACCATCTAGCATTAACTACACTCCTGGACACAGGCCTGGAGTAAGCAGAACAATATACAACATCCGCTGCACCTTGTGGTCAAAGAACCGGCGAAACATACTCAATGGTGTTGAGTTATTTCCCTCCTTTCATGACGCTTCATCCCTCAACAAACGAACTTGAATCGAACTATTCACAAACAGAACGGTACAGTCGTTTGCTTAAATTCGTGAAAACACGAAAGTTTTGCGCGCTATCACGTGCAGTTTTGATTGTGATGCCGACCAATGCCAGAGCTGCCGGGATAGAATTGGGTCGAATACTGGTGCATATTGGATTCCGGGTGGTCGAAAGAGTTTTAAATGAGCATTTCACATTCTACACATGAAGGTTGCTCCCAAAAACGAAGTTTGGAGACCTCCGAACACCTCGGCAGCATTCGGCACAATGCACGTGACAACGCGCAAAACTTTCGTATTTTCACGAATTTAAGCAAACGGCTGTAGTTCTTTTGTGCTAAAATGGCCCAATCGGCTTATGTCATGAAATGATGCCTCATGACTTTGAATCTGACCTCATGACCTCCGAACATCCTCCAAGCCGGAAACTGCCGCGCAACCAAGAAATTGAAACCACGTTCAACGTTCAATAATTGCGGGTGAAGCTACGAAAGGATAAAATTTGTAAGACATTTGCTGTAAACATACCCCGACCCCATGCGAGCTGGTTGACGCGAAGCGGCGACCGAGCGAGCTGGGGGTCGCCTTGGAATATCGATAAACTTTCAACTCTTACCTACTTGTCCCAAAAAAACCTGAAAAAGAAAATTCAATTCCTTTACATTTTTTCTGTCTGTTTGTGCCTGCCGCTTGTCGGCCTACCATATTCATGCATGTGGCGAGTAAGTAACTGCATGAGTCAGTGAACCGGCGATCAAAATAGTCGCCACTCCTTTACCGCTCCCACCATGTCTCATCGGACTACTATTACAGAGCTCCCCGAAGACATACTCCTGGATCTTTCCCAGCACTTCGATGTTGCCGATCTCATGAATATCGTTGCAGTACGTGGTCTATTCGCCAATGATCCAAGTATGTCGCTTTGAAGCTGTTTCAGACGTGCCGCGTCTTTCGCGCGCTACAGCTTCACAAGAGTTTCTGGCTCAACATCTTTGCCCGAATCAGATCCCAAATGCACCCCCTGCCGTTTTTCAAAGGCGAGGATCTAGCCACTTTGTCATTAGAAGACCTTCAAACTACAGCTCGGCGGGTTAACCGACTATTGCATAACTTTCACTCGGATAGCCCTTATCCTGTGCACATTCGGAACTTATCCATAGAACCTTCAGCCCATTTCTTTTGCATTCCCGGCACAAGCCTCGCGGTTTCGTATACGATAAGCGGGGTGAGTTGTTGGAACATTCTGACCTCACACCGTGTGGCGTACCTAGAGATTAACGACCTCCGTGTTCGATCTCGAGCACCATGCATGGAGACCAAGGGAGAGGCTCTCATCGTGGCCACCATCGGGTACGTCATTGGCAAGCGTCGCATCGAGGCATGGGTTTACTGTTTTTCAGAAATGGCCTTTGGAATGAATTTACAAACCTCGTCGCAATCTGCATCGACTACCGCGATCGTACTCAGATATCAATTTCTCATGTCGTCTCCCCAGATATGAACATCGGCGATGTCCCTGATGCTTCGTTCTTTGTCACTCCTCGAGTTCTGGGATTCTACATGCTGCCCTCCTTGGTTTCTTGGTCCATGCAGGCAAATGCCGCGGTTCAGACTGAAGAAGATTTTCATGACGTGGTGAGGCGATTTTATCTATTGCGTAACTCCCATTGAAGTGTATTAGATCGGCGGGAGCTGCCAACCATTGGGCGGCCATTTATACCTGTTTAACCCGGGCTCGTTTTTCGAAGACGCCGCAGTACAGAGTCTTCCACTTCCCTCGTCCTCGAATGATCGGATCAGCACACCTCCCCCGCCGCGCCAGATAACACCGTTGGCTATTCCGTATTCAGTTGCATCGAATCAGGGGGAACTTCGCGCATGCGCAAGACTCACCGGCAGCATGATCTTAGGAGTGCCGCGTTTGCTCGCACCAGATCACGGCATTTTCGCCGTGACTCATCGCACCTTCACCTGGGAAAACCGCAGGCTCTCCGTCGTACACTTTTGGCCCGCGCGGACAATTCGCGATCAGCTGCATTTTGGGCCGGCGTGCTTCTACGAACACAGCGATCCAATCCAACGAATCGTGGTCGGTGCATCAGGGACATACGCGATTCTCGTCGTTGTGCAGGGGAAGGGCTACCTCGGACTGGTGCACTTCAGTGCAACCCCGCGTCCGCACATCACCTACCGGAAATTGGACATCGGGAGAAAGCCCGTGGACAAGAAGACCCGTGTCGCGCTCGATGACGCGCTGGGCCTGGTTTTGGTTGGTAATGATTCGGGAAGGCTGACCGCCTTTTCTTATGCGTGAAAAGCGAAGTCGGTCATAGGTGTTCATTGTTGGTTGCCTCATCGAATTATCTACCCAATTCATTTCACGCGAACTGCACTGGAACAGCACTGCTTTCATGCTCTTGCATAAACTCGAGGAGGTGGATTGGAAGTAATACCAGAACAGATTTTTAAAGCATGCTCGAACTTGGATAATTTACTTACAGCCCGTACAAATCCGAAAACGGATCATACATCCCTAGAATTCGGACTCTATCCCATTTTCGCGATATCGAGCGCGACGTCTGGCCTATGGACCGCATCGATGAACGCGAACATCCCTCGATGCCCTCACCATTCGAGGCCCCAAGTGACAGTCGTATTCTCCGACCACTTTTTTGTCGTCGCGTCCACCTGCGCGCATTGAAGTTCAAGTAGTAAGTATTATTCTAGATGGGGAGAAACGAGGGAGCACCTCTGGTTTTGACTTTTAAGTCGTTACTGTTTGATCGATGTGCAGTAAGTCCTGATAGATAGTTTCGGAAACCTTTTATTATTTCCCCTCGAGCACTGCGTTCAGCGGGTTGATAGCCGGGGGGCCGGCCAATCGCCTAACCAGGGTAGCCGTATTGTGATTGGCGAATAGCACTGCCGCCACTGCGGGTAGCCCTGGGTCAACCCTGGGTAGCTCGCCGAACCTCGCTCGCTGTGGCTAAACGCCTGGGCCACACCTACCCACACGTGGCTCGGCCAGTTAGCCGGATCTCTGGACAGGCGGTGCTGTGGTTATCAAGCCGCTGAAACGCAGTGAAGATGCATAATTAAAACGAATCAGAGGAGGGGAGCATCGCGCTTTTTCCATGGTGGGACAGGCCCCCGGTCACTACCTTTGATGACGGTCGGATTTTTTCTGAACTTTGACGCTGATTTACCCTAGGAATTTTGGCCCAGGAGGCTTGTTTTACCCTATATCCGACCAAGAATTCCTAAAAAATGTCATTTTTTCTCTCCCTGGTCCAAATTTTCGCTCTTGAACCGCTGCGGGCGCTTTATGGCTGCCCGCGCTCCCTCTTGACCCTGTTATTATCAGGCCAAAATCTCTCAAAATCATCGTGAAAGACGATCTGAGGTATACTGTTTCAAAAAAAAATCTCGCGCTCCACGCGATTTACCCTATTCCAGACGGACCGTGCCCGTTCGAAAGCTGTTTTACCCTATAAAGCGGCTGGAGGTAGGGCCATTCTGGAGCGTTGATTTACCCTATCGCCGACCGTCATCAAAGGTAGTGACCGGGGGCCTGGTGGGACGTCAAATGGGTTTGTTCCGCAGGACGAATCTTTGGAAATTAAAGTCAGCCAAGCGGTCTGTGTAGTACCATGGAGGACGAAGAAGAAAGTGGGCCCTCGACAGCATATACATATTGAAATTCGGATAGGCTCGGATCATGAGGATCATGTGAGTCACTGCTGCTTCTCTAGGCTCTATGCAACTTCACAGACACGCTCTCGGTGCTGTTCGACCAGATCAGTTTTTTTTTGCTACGGACTGCGGAAGCCCATGCGACATCACCAAAGAAGAAACATCACGCAGCTTCGGATGCAAATTGTAACCGAACATACCCCACTGACCTGCCCCGACCCGGCCCACCCCCAAGCACCGCTGACGCCACACGATGCACCACTTCACGTCAGCGGTTCATTAATATTGAATCGGTGAAACATGACACAAGTTCTCGTTACGACGATCCGCATAAAGGAGGCTGTATGCTGCGGTCAACAGCAACTGCCAGATCGGTATCACGTCCTGTCAGATATATAGCTCAGTTTGCGTCGACATCGACCTTTGCTCTACCCTCACGCCCACGATGCCTGCATTCACTGGCGAGGCAGGTGCGGCACTCGCGTTTCTGATCGGAGTGAGTCCATATACCCCCTAAGTGCTATGGTCGTACACTTATCCACAGTCGGCAGTATCTCGCTGTCTTCGCCTGGATGCTCTTTGCGTATCTGACGCACCGCATAAAATTACGCTCGCGATATTCCCTGCTGTTCTTCCATGTCACAATTCGGGTGGCCTCTCAAGCCTGCGGCATAGGCTTCGGTATCCTAGGATTTCGAAACACGAATCTATTCCTCGCTTTTCTTATCCTCGGCGCGGAGGGCTATTTCTCGCTGGTAAGGCTCTTTCTCCCGAATCACACGTTTTAAATATAACGAACCGTTAGGTGCTCTGCGCCTTCCGCTTTCTGATCTCCTGGCACCAGCACAACCTCGCTAGCGGCGAGTCTTGGCTGGAGCCCCGCGACCCGCCAAACACCAACAAGGCACGCAAGACCCTCGTCTTCATCTTCCTCGGGCCCCTCGCCTTCTTGGTGTACCGCAACAACCCCATGGTCGCCTTCCACTCCGCGCTCATCCTTGCCAACACCGCGATCGTCGTCGGCGGCTCCTACCTCGCCGGCGCAGACTACAGCGACCCGACCTCGCATGATACGCGCATGCGCCTGCAGGTGTCGAAGATCACGCGCACGGCGGGGCAGAGCGT